TTTGTTTGTTTGTTTGTTTATTTGTTTGTTTGTTTGTTTGTTTGTTTGTTTGTTTCTGTTTCGTTTGCTTTCTTCCTTGCTTCCTTGCTTTCTTTCTTCCTTGCTTCCTTGCTTTCTTGCTCGTTTTTGTTTGTTTGATTTGTGTTGTTTGTTTTTTGTTTTTGTGTGTTTGTTCGTTCGCTGTTTGTTTTTTTGTTCGTTCGCTTGCTTTGCTTGCTTGCTTGGTCTGGTCTGGTCTGGTCTGGTCTGTCTGTTTGCCTGTTTGTTGGTTGAGTGTTTGTTTGCCTGTCTGTTAGCCTAGCTTGTTGCCGGTTGAGTTTCTTTGGTGCATGTCTGGCCCACTCAGTCAGTGAGTCGAGTATGGTTGAGTTGAGTTGAGCTGAGCTGAGCTGAGTTGAGTTGAGCTAAGCTGAGTTGAGTTGAGTGGAGTGGAGTGAGTACAGTCAGCCAGTTAGTGAGTGAGTCTGAGGAGTTCAACCATTGCAGTCGGAAGTTCCGGGCACTGGACGGCGCCTTCTTTAGCGGCCTGGCGCGTCCGAAACTTTCGGGGGTTCGTTGGGTTTGGATTTCGATTTGAAGCCCTGCCTTCTTTTGGGGCTCCTGGAACCCCCCGAAGAACCTGAATCTGGTAACCCTTCGGTGACTGGTGGTTTGGGACATGGATTTCCTGGTTGTTGGGACATGGGATGCACCCAGAACCCAGAGCATGGGCTCCGTTTGAAAGTTTGGCTCCACTTCGCTTTTTCGGCGAGCGATAAGCTGGAGATAGTATGACGGGTGTTCCAAGAGAAATCAGTTCACAGGTTGCTGGTACAACTAGAGCCCCCCCCTGAATGAGCTCTGAACGGTGCAGCATTTTTGGTGGAGCCAACTGGCCATTGGGCCGTGACCACACCCAGTTGCGAGTGCGCTTGCGCATTTGACCCTCCCCCCTCAGCGGCTTACATGCTGGCTTCCTTTTTTAACGACGCCCCCAAGGTTCCCCTTTCGTTTTCACACATGAGTGTGTCTTTTTTGGACCGGGACTGACCCCAAAATGGTAGTGTTCGTTTTGGTTAAGGGGAGTACCGAGGCTAACAAGGGGTACCGAGCCTCAAAAGAAGCAACGCTCACCAGGCACGACCAACAATGTTGTTCTCCGAGTTTGGAGCTCGAAGCTCGAAATGGTTTCCACTTGCCCCCTAAACCAGTGCTCTTAGCATGGGGTATACAACCACTATAGAACCACTATATGCAGGGTTTATGGTTTTTCCACCCCGATTTCCCCTGAAGGCTCCAGGGTTTTTCGGGTCTTTTTTAATATATATATATATATATATATATTAAAAAAACAAAAATACACCAGCATAGACCCCAGATAGCACACCACGGCTACGAACCATGACGCAGCATCATAATGGTTCCCGCGGCATGATGATGATGACGACGTCCTGATGAGTTCGACAGCATCATGATGATGCGGACAGCATCATGATGATGCTCACAGCGTCATGGTGATGGCAAAGGCAGCATCCTGCTGATATCACAGCCACGAATCATATTGCGACAGTGTAATGAAATTCAGCATCACCCTGATGTTGACAGCTTTATGCCCGCCACCACACCCACGAACCACAACGTGGCACCGCAGCGATTGCAGCAGCATCATAACGTAGTTGACAACATCACGATGATACACAAGCCACGAACCATTACGCGCGACAGTTAGAGCAGCAACAACGTCCGAATCGGTTCAACAGCATCATGGTGCTGCTGACAGCATCATGATGCTGCGGCCAGCATCATGATGATGCGACAACCACGATACCCCAAACAGCACCCGCCCTAGCACCCTGCAATACATGCGCCCGCACCATCACCAACACCGGAAAACAGCAGCCTCAATAGCACCCCAACGCAGCACCAGCGCCAGACACGTCCCCGAGCACCCTGCCGTCACGTACTGTCACCAGCACCTGAACGGAACAGCACTCACTAGAAGTCTATGGTTTCCAGCTATCCGGGAAATAAGCCCACGCGGCCAGCAGCACCTCCAACAGCAACACAAAACAGCACCTGCACCACCCCCGAACTGCATGCCCCCTAGCACCCGGCCGTCAGTTTCGCAAAGCGGCACCTCCACCAGCACCCGAAACTGCATGCCCCGTAGCACCCGGCCGTCAATCTCGCAAAACAGCACCGCCACCAGCACTCCAAACTACATGCCCCCTATCTCGCAAAGCGGCACCTCCACCGGCGGAACTGCATGACCCCTAGCGCCCGGCGGTCAATCTCGCAAGACAGCACCTCCACCAACACTCCAAACTACATGCCCCCCATCTCGCAAAGCGGCACCTCCACTAGCGCCCGAGGCTGCATGCCCCCTACTGTAACACTCCAAACTACATGCCCCCTAGCACCCGGCCGTCAATCTCGCAAAGCGGCACCTCCACCAGCACCCGACACTGCATGCCCTCTAGCACCCGGCTGTCAATCTTGCAAGACAGCACCTCCACCAGCACCACAAACTGCATGCCCCCTAGCACCCGTCCGTCAATCTCGCAAAACAGCACCTCCACCAGCACCCCAAACTACATGACCCCTAGCACTTGGCCGTCAATCTCACAAAACAGCACCTCCACCAACACCCAAAACTGCATGCCCCCTAGCACCCGGCCGTCAGTTTCGCAAAGCGGCACCTCCACCAGCACTGCAAACTGCATGCCCCCTAGCACCCGGCCGTCAAGCTCGCAAAACAGCACCTCCACCAGCGCCCCAAACTGCATGCCCCAGCACCCGGCCCTCAATCTCGCAAATCACTTTCCCTTCTTGATTAGAAGTTAGAACCCCTATAGCTTTCAGCTATCTGGGGGAAAAAAAACACCTCCGCAACGCGCTCCCAGCTCCAACACTCCAACGAGCCGCGAGAAACAAAACAAGAAGAAAAGTCGCACTCTGCTCCAGCGCCGGTGACGAGCGCCCAGTGAGCTCTTCGCCCGCCCAAACGCTCCAGCGCCCAAGCGGCGAGCGCCATTTGGGTATGGGTCAAAATTAAACCGCCAGACCACAGGTTTTAGTCATTGTTTCCAATGCACCAGCTGGCGCCATTTTGGGGTTACCCTATTTCTGACCACAGCCATCGCCCCGTGACGCTGAGGCCAGGACTATGCTTCGCTCGGCAGCTTGGCCATGCGGCTGCAGTGCAACGGCTGGACCAACTACTCCAAGCCCCTGGCCGAGGTCCTGCAGGAGTTTGCCGCCAGGCGACGCCCGGACTGGCGGACGCGGACTTGAAGCTTTCCAAAAGAGAAGTGGGTGGGGTCAACATGCCAGCTTTTGTGTGGGGGCGGGGTTGCGGTTTTTTTAGGGTTGAAAGCGGGCCATCCGGTTCTTAGGTTCTTAGTTGTTTTCAGTTTGTTTTAGCTGCTTTAAGTTGGTTTAGTGGTTGGGTTTCCATTTAACCCGCTAAAGTTCACCAAAAGTTGGTCGCTTTCGGCGGGGGATCAGCTTCAGCCCGGAGAAGTGGTCGCACTTTCCGGGTGTAAATTAATCTTGATGGCTTCCCCTTGAACCAAGATCAAGATAAAGGCTAAAGTTTGAGGCCTTTCATAAGCCCAGCCTGCGCCTTTGAGACAGCCAGAAATCCAAGCCCAAGGCGGACGCAATTCTTTCACATGTGCCCTATCGACCAAAGAACGTCTCCCTGACGCCTCCCGAAAGGGGGCCTTGCTTTGCAAGCATGCCGCTGTGCTCCGTGTTTCGTTGGGTTCACGTGTTGCAACTCTCTACGAGTCTAGAGTCGTGACAGGCGAGCTCTCCAAAGTTTCACACTTCCGATTGCAAGCAGCACGCTGCCACAAGCTCAAAAGCTAACTTGAAGCCCAAAAGCTGGATTTGCCTGACAATTTTCGCAAGAGGTCTCTGACCAGAACCAAAGCTGGCAAGGGCCATGTGTATCATTGTCATAACTTGATATTTCGGTGGTGGCTCCCTGAATAGGAAACCTTGAACTTGTCTATTTTCACTCAAGGGTCCAGGTGACCATCCCCAGAAACCAGTGCCACTTGTCTGCTAAAATTCTAAAATGTTCACTCCCCCTCCGACGTCAACGTCAAGCCAAAGTGAAGCAAATCGCACCGAACCATTTGGAACCACAATCAAAACCCGGGTGGATGAAGGTTAGTAAGGGGTAGTCCCAGCCAGAGATAGTTGCGGAGATCTGCCTTCCTAATTCTTGAAGCATTCTGGGATTAGGACCATTTTTTATCCGGGTTTTGAGCAAGTGACCCACCAAAAATGCGTCAGGTCGGGAGGCCGGCCGCTGCGGCAGCAAGCCCATGTGTTGCTTCTGACCGACGGGGTGCCCACTCACGGGGACCCCGAGGCGCGTGAGGAGCGGAGAGCGAGTCCGGCGGGAGGCGATGGTATGGCCCCAAGATGTGGATGGCGTTTTTTCCTTTGGTTTTGTTTTGTTCCCCACAAAAAGGTAGCCTCGAAACAAGAGAGAGGAAGTTTCCCAAGGTCAAAGTATCAACTCAAGACAAGAGGAATTGGGTTAGGACTCCCCCCCCACCCAACAAAAAGAAAGCCCGGAAACAAAAGGACCGTGTCTCTCCGCGTCTCCGCGCGCTTTAAGCCGCGTCTCCTCCCCCAGATATCCGCCTCCAGATCAGCCGTGCCGTGCCGTGCCGCGAGGAGCGGTTGCTGGCGCGGCGCCTGGGGGTGGTGATCCACACGGTGTACCTGGGCTGGCCCCAGGGCTACCCCCGCGCCCTGGAGGCGAGGATCGATCCATCGAGTCGATCGAGTCGATCGATTCGGATGGCGATGCGATGCGCTGATTGGGCGGGCGTCGGCTCAACTTGGAATTCGAATGCCAGGGGCGAGAAAACGCTGGGGAAGGTGAAATGGAAGGAACCCAGGCGGTGGTCACCGAATAAAGGGACACCACAGATGTTGGATGGTTGAGTTCGGGGTCAGCGTGCATGTCTCGTTGTCTGCTTCTGGCACCAGCAATTAATGTTGGAGCCCGGATTAATATCTAAACCCCTGTTTATACAAATATTGGGGTGGGGGCCCCTCCAAAGTGGTTTGATTCCCCACTAAGACCAGGGATGCCCGGTTTATTAATCTGGGGTCAACATTGCAGAAAATGCAGCCAATTGGGCAAAACTTTGCCGGGCAATGCACATATGTTGGATATATGTTGGTGTTTCTTCTAAGGGTCACCATTTTCTCCTGAAGCGGGCGGTTTTTGGTTGGCTGCCGTGTTGCTTTTTTTTTCCAGTGCAACTAGAATCAAGGCCACCAATTCGAGAAACTCTCACATTTGAAGCAAAACTCAATATTTGAAGATCTCACAACCAAATCTTCAACTCGAGTTGTCTTTCCTCCCGAAGCGAACTGCAGCTCATTGGCAAAGCACTTTCCTCAAGGATCCTTTTGCCGGGTTCCCTGTTTGTGGGAGGCGAGCTTTTGCGGCAGATTGAACCAGGCCACGTGATTCTTTGTCCTGGGAAACAGAAAAAAAACAGAGCGGTTACTGGCGGCCGGGGTGATTTTATGAACGACAGTTGACAGGTGCCCCGAGTTTAGCTTGACCATGTTGCATCCGAGAACCAGGGCTGTTTTGGGGTGGGACTCAGGGACCTCCCCTCGCAAGGTGGGTTGTTGTCCTTGTGGCTTCCCATTGAAACGCCTACCAACGTGGGGAGGGGGGGGGGGAGGGAGAGAAGACACGCTGAAGTCGCAGACCTTGACCATCTCACCCAGGGAGATTTGGGTTCTCGATTCCCATTTGGGTGTTGCCTTTTTGTTTGGGTTCCTTGTGTAGCTTAGTTTAAAGGACAGTCATGGCGAAAACCACCACTCTTGGGGGTCCGGAGTCAAAATCCCTATCTTGACCCATGCCAGAGTCCTCCCCGCCTAGGATCAATTTTCCCTAAGGATTCGTTGGGCACTGGCCAGTTTTGGCTACCTCATTTTAGGACGGGAAGCCACTTTTTTCTTGGCTGTTGGGAGGACAAGCCACGTTTTGGTTAGCAGTTTAAGCCATTTTGGAATCCAAAGAACCAGAGTGAAACATAGGCATCCACCCATTGTCAACATGAGTGTCCGGTTCCTTGGACCCGTTTCAGTGCCGAGATCGGTGGCCGGGGCCCATGGTGTTTTTGACCCGTTGGTTCAACTGCCCGTGAATTGGTTGTTTTCCAGGCACCTCGTGATTTTCTCCACTGCCCGTCAAGTGGTGTTTTCATCTTCATTTCATGATGTTTGCTTCAAACCTCATCGGACTTTTCACCTCATGGGAGCTTTCATCTCCACCCCCATTGGATTTTTCATTTTCTCCCCATTGTCCTGCTGGTGCTCAGGGAATGAGGGAACGGTTGAGTATAAGGGTCATTTCTTTGCCCTCGTTGTCTGCCTCTAGCACCAGCAAGCAATGTTAGACCCCAGATTATTATTATTGTTATTATTATTTGTATACCCCTGTTTATAAAAACAAAAGTATGGGGGTGGGGGCCCCTCCAAAAGTGGTTTGATTCCCCACTAAAACCAGGGTCGCCCCCCTAGACTAATAAACCCCGGGGTTTATTAATCCGGGGTCAACATAACAGAACAAGTCTCTCAAAAACCCCTCGCTCGCCCGCACTCGCCAGCTGTTTCGCGGCGCCGTGTCAGGCCCTCAGCGGCGCCACCGGGGGCCGCCAGTTCGCGGCCTTCTACCAACCCGAGCGCCGCGACGAGCCGCGGGAAGGCGTTTCCGCGCCGCGGCCGCCGCGGGAGCGGCGCACGCGGCGCGGTGGAGACGGGGGAGGCGGTCAAGTGGAAGACTCACTCGCGCACACGCTGTTTTCTGAGAGGCGTCCCCTTATCCGCGGTCTCCCCAAACCAACAGTCTACCCAAAACATTCTGGAGCTACTCACTTGACGTCTTCCGACCCCAAAATGAGGGTGGGCCCCCTCAATACAAGAAATTAGTTGAAGTTGAGGGGACCCCACCATCATTTTGGGGTCGGAAGATGTCAAGTGAGTAGCTCCAGGATGTTTTGGGCAGACTGTTGGTGTGGAGATACCCTTTTGCGGTTGAGACAGGGGAAAGCCACTGTTTCAGAACTGATAGCCCCTTCCCCAAGAAACAAAACCCGTCTTTCCTTTGCCTTCGCACAACTTGGGACCCCACGCAACGACTCTCGCCAACTTCAAAGACTTCGCTGGAGCATGTGCCATGGTCAAAAGCTCTGAGAAACGGAAGAAGCACACCCTGGCCACGTGACAAGCTTCGGGGATGGCACGCTTGGATAGAATGCTCAGCCAGAAGATTTTGGGCGACCCGTGTGGACTTTCGGAATGTTCGCCACGAAGTACAATCAAAGTCATGAGTTGGGACATTCATCTGCAAGACATTGATCTTTCCGTTCTTCAATGGCGGCTGGGTTTCTCATAGCTACGACCCTCACATTGTGAGATGCCAGTTCAACCACCGGGCAACTGGTAAATCTGGATCACCTCCGCACATTTTAAACAACCACATTCAAATGAGGGCATTGGCTTCGAGTAGAACTGATGGGCGGTCATTTCTAAACGGGCCAGGGCATACAGGGATACCTGAGGCGACAGGACGCCCACGTCTTTGCAGTTGGTCACCGGCTCGTTGGCCTCAAATAAATCAGCTGACAAACCCCATGCAAACTTGAATGAGTCTGGCTCGTTGGCGAGCCCACTCCGGCATAGCCTGAATGGACGGCTTCAGAGCCAGCGTTCCCCTCAGCCAACCTCCGCACTCCAAGGTATGGCGTTGGTCTGGACAGCGGTTTCATCCGAGTGGTGGAGAGGTGACGCCCAAAGACGGCGGCGCAAAAATGACAGCAGGGTTCCCTTAGCTCGTCTCCAAAGGGAAGTCTGGGAAGCTGATTTCACGCAGCTTTTCCATGGTCCAAGCGCGCTCCATTCGATTGGGAGCCTTTTGGGTTGAGGACGCGAACCTGCGGGACTTTGCATGGTTCGAGCATCCGATTCTTTGTTCCACTGGAGGGAGCCCCCTGCATGATGTGGCCATGGGTGAAAATCCAATCGTACCCCCAGTCAACATCCCAATCCCCACTAAAATCGACAAAACTGGGTGGTGCACCTACCCCAAAATGGTACCATTGGTTGTGACCCACAGCCATGTGGCTATGTAGCCTCTCCAACAAAGGGACCCTTCAAAGAGTTCTTGCGGGCGGGAGGGCATGAAATGAGTTCCATTTCTTCGGAGAGATTCTCACCGGAGGAGCTCTTGGACCACGTGATGCGGCGCCTTGCGCGGGACCGCGCGAGCGTGCAATCCGGGCAGGCGCGAATGGTAGCCGGATGCCGTGGGTCGGCAGCTGCCCAGTGAATAGATCTGAGTGTAAACACATATTTCTCCAACAGAGGGAATTCATTGGGGGGGGGGGGGGTGACCATACATAGAAAGATAGATACGTACATACATGCATGCATACGCACGTACGTACATACGTGCATGCATATATATATATAATATATAATATATATATATATATATAATATATATATATAATATATATTTGTGGGTTGTTTTTGTTTGCTTTCTTTTAAGGGAATCCCATGTCGGTTTCCGGTAGTTTTCCTGCAACGCAACCCAACGGGTACTTGTATCCCTGCAAAAAGCATCGCCCACCCATGTGTTGCTTCATATTCCGAAGGGTGAAAGGATGCGAAAAGCTGCGAAAACCACTCCGACCAGGGCAGCGAGGCATTCAAATGTCCATGAACCGTTTCGTGGAGATGATCCCAACGCATCACTTTTGCGGTTGGCTTCACGTGTTCCAATAAGAAAAAGGAGCTGATGGAGCTGTCAATGGAGACCTTTGGAGCTTTGGCCCAGAAGCGGGCCCTCACCTGTGGAATTCTACGCCGAACTCCGGCGTCGAAGGCGGTTTTCTTTGGCAGGCCGAAGGTAGGGCGTGTCTTTCTTTTGGGGTATCCCGCTTGTGGTTCAGGATGGTTCAGGAAAAGCAAACGAAAATGGGGTTCCTAGAAAGCAAGCCACCGCCACCGCGCTTCTATTTTTATCACCTTCACATCGCAGGGACCCGTTTCGTGTTTAGGCAATAGGAGCGTCTTGGTTGAACCTAGATGGATTGCACTGGTTTCAGTTGGGTCTCTCATGTTTTGCCATTCCATCAGACAGTGACCCCAATTTGGTGGTTTGAATAGGTTAATTGGGGATTTGAAGCCCTGGTTCTTGTAGAGGGTAAATGAGAAACCACCCCTGAACCAAACCACCAATCAGAGGGAAGCTGAGAAAGGGGGGGCTGGTTTCGATGGCTCTGAGCTCCCAGGGATGAGGTGTTTTGTTTTCCTGGGGCTGTTCTTTTGCACAGGTTGGGTTGCCCGGCTTGGCTGGGGTTGGTTGGTTGGTTGGTTGGTTGGTTGGTTGGTTGGTTGGTTGGTTGGTTGGTTGGTTGGTTGGTTGGTTGGTTGGTTGGTTGGTTGGTTGGTTGGTTTGCCTGGCTTGGCTGGGGTTGGTTGGTTGGTTGGTTGGTTGGTTGGTTGGTTGGTTGGTTGGTTGGTTGGTTGGTTGGTTGGTTGGTTGGTTGGTTGGTTGGTTGGTTGGTTGGTTGGTTGGTTGGTTGGTTGGTTGGTTGGTTGGTTGGTTGGTTGGTTGGTTGGTTGGTTGGTTGGTTGGTTGGTTGGTTGGTTGGTTGGTTGGTTGGTTGGTTGTTTGGTTGTTTGGTTGGTTGGTTGGTTGGTTGGTTGGCCGCATTTCCGGGCATCACCAGCCTCACTAGGACCTAGGGTTTCGGGTTGCCTGTTGGCTCTGATTCGGTGGCAGTTGGGAGTTGCTCGGGGCTGCCTTCATGATGGTTTCAGGCTGGAAAAGATCTTACTGAGGGTGGGTCTTGGGTTGGTTTGGGGCAGGCTGCTGTTGGGTGGGGTTAAGGCTGACTTTGGGTGGGTTCGGGGTTCGCTTGGAGCTGATTTGTGTTATATAGGTGTGCTGCTGGTTTAGCGGTGCTTGAGGTTTAGGATTGGTTTTGGAGCGTTGCCCCAAACCACCAAACCAAGTCCAAAAACTCACGTAACCACATAAAGCAAACCTAAAGCCACCGCTAAACCACAACACACCTAACACAAATCAGCTCCAAGTAAATCTCAAACCCACCAAAGTCAGGCTTCACCCCACCCAACGTCAGCCCTTTGCTGAGCCTGAATGAACCCCAAACCAACCCGAGACCCAGCCACTAGGCTGGTGATGCTGGGGATGCGGCAAACCAACCAACCCACTAATTACCTGATCCAGCAAACAACCAAGCAGCCAGCCAGCCAGCCAGCCAACCACCAACCAACTCATCCACCAACCAACCAAGCAGCCAACCAACCAAGCCAGCCAGCCAGCCAGCCAGCCAGCCAGCCAACCAACCAACCAACCAACCAACCAACCAACCAACCAACCAGGCAACTGATCCACCAACCAACCAAGCAGCCAGCCAGCCAGCCAGCCAGGCAGCCAGCCAGCCAGCCAGCCAGCCAGCCGCCCGCCCGCCAGCCAGCCAGCCAGCCAAACAACCAACCAACCAACCAACCAACTGATTCACCAACCAACCAAGCAGCCGGCCAGGGAACCAGACCCTTCCTGAGCTCCGGTCAGGCCTCAGCGATTGAGACCTTCATGGCTCAGCTTGCAGCAGCGGGGGCCGCCAAAGCCGTAGGAGGTTCAACCCTAGCGGGGATCATGAATTTGACTGTTTGGGCGGGATCAAAGTCTGAAACTGCGGTGGTTTCTTGTTTAAACCACCTCCTTTTTTTAACATTGGGTTGGGGTGTGTGTAACTTTGAAATGGTCAAAGAATGGGGCCAGTGTAAGTAGGTGGAGCACAGTTTTGGCTAGGTGGCACCTTAGGTAGGGTTTTTTTTCTTTACTTCTTTAGTGCTTGGATGTTCTTTCAGTAGGCTATAACCATAGCTACATCGGGGTTAGTGCGCTTGCAAGTCTGATGATATAGCTGGGTTGAGCATCCAAGTAGGATTGCTGGCTTTGGACTTTGCCGGACGACAGGTATCGCCTCTCAATTCTATTTGTGTGTTTTCTCGTTTCTTTTTGTGTAGGCATTGATTTTGTCCCTTCTGTCCTGTTTTGGGTCGCAACATCACGTTCTGGTCCAACTATGATGGAGTGAACCGTGGAGTTGTTTACATATCAGGAACCCTGTGGGAGGTCTGTGAAATGAGCTTGGGGATCAAATCCACTTCCGGCTGAGTGAGTTGCAGGGGATCTCTGGGGATTGCACCGCCTGCTGCATCAACAACTTTGTCTCAAAAGGGCGGCACCTCCCATTTTGGGTGTTTTGCGCTTGGTTGCCCTTTTCAGTGACCTTAGAAAGGAAAAGTACCGTCAAGAAAGGCATGCCCATTGTTTGCCGTTTTGTTTTTCTTTCTTCTTCTATCTCCGACTGATCTCCAAGGTTGCTCCAGTCTCAAAGATGAGCCCCTTTTCTCCCCTTGGTCCTTGGAGCAACCCCGTTGGGTCAGCGCAGTTTTTGTCAACCAGAGCGCAGATTGACATAGAACTCCGGATTCAGTTGTGGAGTTTAGAGGAATCTCCTTTTAGGGACCAGAGGGGAGCACATGCTTGTTTTGCCATTTGCGTTTTGAGGTGTGTTTTTGGAGGCTGAACGCTTGAGGGATTCCGCGAGAACTTACGGAGCGCTAGTGAGCGTTCGCATCCTTGTTGGAGGACAGCGCTGGGGCTTTTGAACCATCTTGAGATCCACTCTTTTGAGGCTTTGTGTCGCTATATTTACACATACTCATACAGATATAGATAATTGACTATATACAATTGTATAATTGTCAAAGTGGCGCTTCAGAAATCAGGCCAAGGTGCCGCCATTGGGTTGGGAGGTGAGACCAGCGAGGTGACACAGTGAGCCCAGTTCGAAGTCTCAAGAGCAAGGCAGATCCACGTCGACAGCGCCTTGCGGTTGCTAGCCCTTCATTGGAGTTCCCCTAGGTTTGACAGAGGAATTCCTCCGCGGGTTTGTTCCTTACCCCCGGCATATTTATTCCACTCTTTAAACACCACACTTGGGTAACAGATGGCACCATTCCCCCCATCCTCTACCCGTCATTTGGTGTCTGTTTTTGATGGTACTGCAAAAGTGGGTGAAGGGAAACCAAGAGCAAACGTAAAGGTTGGGGTCAAAGCATTTGGTACCCTTTTGTTGGTGATTTCAAAGGGACACCCAAAGCGAATCGTAAATTCTGGGGCGGGCCTCCCACCAATGAACGCGGAACCTGATGTTCGGGGATCCTTTTAAAGGAAAATGGTCCGAACCAGGACCATTCCCCTTTTACGTCACGTTCCATGTGAAAAGGGTGGGAGGGTATCTACTTCCATCCCCCTAAAAAGTGCTTGGTACTACTTCCGCGGGTGAACTCATGGGTGTTTTCAAAAGCAAGCCAGACAGTTTGGGGGTGGTCAAAGTATTTTAAGGCACTGCTATCTACTTCAACCATCAAGTTGGGGCGGTCAAATTTGGGGGGTCAAGTTTGGGGGAGGTCAAAGACACACATATCTACTTCGCCCAAAGACACACCTCTCTACTTCCATACCCCCAAAGCCGGGTCAAGGTCCTCCGGGGCCGTCCGGCCGTCCGCTCGTTTGTTTGCTTCCGAGGCCTCGGCTTCCGACATTCCCATGCAGCCGGAGAGCTCCGCGCGAGGCGGGGCTCGCGGGCCGCAGCGAGCTCTTCCTGAGGTCCACTAAGAGAGCGGGACGCCGGCGGGCCCAGTTTTTGCAGTGTTTTTGGCGGTTTTTTACACAAACTCGTGGTTTTGAGAGCTGTCTTCCCCTTGTGGTGCAGGCAATGCTGGTCGAGTAGTTGCTGGTTGTACTTGTGCGGCATTATTTGCCTTCTGATTGTCCTTGCTCTGCCAATCTTGTTGTAGATCCCGATGAGGGACTCGCCTGTTGTTGTATCCTTGCCAAGCCAGATCCCGTTGTAGAACCTTGGCTCTAGTTTTGGAAATTGTTTCACGGTTGGAAGCATGTACTGCACTGTCTCACCAAACTCGCAAAGTGGTGTGTGCTGCTCTCTGTTCCATCTGTTGAAGTAGCTTGTGCATCCATTGCTGTGGACTGCGTACCTGTTCCCGATGTATGCACTGCATCGAACTATCCAAGGCATGAGTGGATGTTTCATTGAAACGTCTCTGTTGTAGTTTTCCAAATTTGGCACACCCTCTACAGGCCGGAGGCACACGAAAGACGTAGATGAAGATCAATAATTGTAGGGTAAGTTCAACCATGAGCAGGTGCATTCGTCCTTTTGTTTTGATATTTGGGTAGGCCTTATTCATTCCAGCTTAGCAAGCGACGAGCATATCTCTCCACTCTCTCGCGCGGAAACGGCAGCCGGGCTCACAGTGAAGTCCGGACAGCTTTTTTCACACGGCCAAAACAGCAAGAAGGGAAACCATCACCATTGCGGGGTTGGAACAAGATATAGGGAAAGGACAGTATAATATCAGTATAGCAGTCCTGTTTGTGTGGGGAGGACATGGGGGACCGCAACAAAAAGTCTCCAAAAGAAGAAGGAGCAACAGGAATCACGCAGCCAGTGTGCCAAGATCCACACATCACCCACCCCAACTGGCATCCAGAAGGAGCAATTACACCTGGCCCAGTGGCCCACAAATGAATTGGACGGGCTAGGCTGGCCTTTGAAGAGTCACAAAAAGGCAGCTGGAAATGAGTCGAGCCCGACGTCAAAAGCCAGACGGAGGCGCGCCTCGCGCAAATTGTGGGCCCTGTAGCATGTATGGCAGCTTGACTGCTATTGGGTCTATTTAGCTTTTTGCAGAGGGGTCAACAGCAAGAAAGGTAGTGCACCTGGTAATTATCTCGTCCTTTGTTTTGTTCCAGACGAGTGTTCGATGGCCTTAGGGCAGTTGGCAGCCCTTCTGTTTGAAGCATGGGGAAGGTGGGACGTACAAACCACAGGGCGCCAAACCTTTTTTTTGTGGAGAGTTTGGTAGACAAAACACACCAGCCAGCTTTTTTTCTCTTCTTTTTTTCTTTCGTTGGAACCACCAGAATTCGATCCCAGCGTCAAACATATTTTTGCCGCTCAGCGTGGCTTCGAGTGATGGAGCTGCAAGATTGCCTCGGGCGCCTGCAGCACACCGACCTCTCGGAGCTGCAAGGAGCGCATTTCATCGATGGGATCCGACCCATGCGCGTCTCGCTTTGTTTTTCGCCGAATCCGAGCCATGGATGAAGCAAACTGCCCAGATTATTGATGGGCTGGTTTGTTTGCTGGGTTTAGTGGGGAATTTTCGGGAACCCCAGCCAATGCCCCAACTAGGATGGGTCTCAATCCGGGGTCGAGCATTCCGCTCTTTCCAATCCAAAAGATGTGGGCGGTCTGGGGGGGGGGGATTTTTCGTCCCACCCTTCAGCCTTAAATGATCATCCAGAAGTATGTAGGAGGAAGCAGTTTGGCCTACGGCCCTGCTCTCAAGCAGAAGTCGTGACAAACATCGATGCAGAGTGGCGTTCTTTAAGACAAATTTTAAGCCACCTCTCACCTGTTTTGTCCAAAGACGCAGCTGCAAAACCAGGCTTAGCCATCACTTGTTTCCTTTATGTTTTTGGCTTCTCGGCTTCTTTTTGGCTTCTTTGCTTGTTTGCTGTTTGTTGATGCTTGGCTTCTTGCCGCTTTCGGACACCATCCAGTAGCAGCATTTGCTTGCTGTACAAGCAAGGGAACTAACAAGGGTGCCGTTCAAAAGCGTGGGGACAGTCATGTGAAAGGCTTTGATCGAGCCCCATTCTTGCAGGATTCCGAGTCTTCCCTAGAAATCGTTCCACAACTGGCATCGATTTGACCAGCGATCTCCAGCGGATGTTCTCATGAAGACAAAGAACAGAAGCGGAGTGAAATCAGAGGATTGAGCATTTGGTCGAATGCACCTGCCCGAGTCACTTCAGACCGCCCAGCTTTCGCCACACGGAGTGCGAGTTGCATTGCCGACTCCAGCTGGAGTCGCCACAAAGCTGCGAAGCACGAGCAATGCCTTTTTGTCCCCCGGTGCCTGTGCAACCCCCGTGGTTCTTGCTTTATGTTGATTGACTTGGCACGCAATGTTTGACAAAGGTTTTGAATCCGGGCAAGAGTTTGGCCAGCGCAAGGGCTCATGGTATTTGCGCCATTGCAGATGGCTGGGCTGAAAACGGCAAGTGCTGCCAGGATAGTTTTCGGCCTTGGCTCAAACGTATGGCGCCGTGCCCCCACTTCCTTGGAGGGGTCAATACCGCACCCGCACCAAAACGTGTAAACGCTCCCTGAGGACTCAGAGGCTTGAGCTGACGGCTCTCTCTTGCACCTCATTTCGAAGGGCCGAAACACAACTGCTCGCCATGTGCTTGGACGATCTCTCTCTCTCTCTCATGTTGAAAGAGCTGGAGGGACGGGTTTTCTCAGCAACCATGCGACTATGCTTTTCTTTCTTAAACCCCCACCCTCATGTTAACCGTCGTATGTGTCAAGTTTGGGTGTTTGTCATAGATCGTGTTTTTTTGGGAGTGAATCGGTTCTGCCGGATGCGAAGTGCAGGAGCCCTGGCGGACTTGAGCGTGTCCCAGCGGGAGATGCTGAGTATGGCCTGCGGTCTGGTGGAGACTAGCGAGGCCTTGGATCGCGCGGAGTTTTTTTTTTGAATCCCATCCCATGGTTATCGTTGGGAAACATTTTGCATTTTTGCTTATTGTGGTTTAGTGGGTAATCCCCCGCTCAACTGCTAAAATTGAAAAACTGTTGCTCCCCTTCCAACGTCAACCAAGAAGGGGGTCGGAGCCGTTTTTTGGGGTGGGGAGTTGAGGGGGTTCTGAAGAGGGTTTCTCAGTGTTCTCTTGGAATCTCTAGGGTTCCTGGAGCTGTCTAGCGATGCTTAGGGTTCCTTCGGGAGGCTTCGGGAGCCCCTTGGCCCGGCATCTTCGCTAGCGTCACATAGAGGTTGCTTTGGACGTGGGACAAGAACATGGATTTGGCAGTTCCACCCAGCGCCTCAACTGCTTCAGAAGTCTGCATTCCATTCCATCAGATTCCACAAGTCTCCAGCTGGGCCACTCGACTTCTTTCCTTTCCCTGCCCCAGCAGAAAAAATCGGGAATGCCCCCCCCCAAAAAAAAATCCACAATCTTATATGGCTATGGGTGAAAACCCCGTACCCCCAACGGAACATCCCAATCCCCACTTAAACAGGTTCCAAGATGGGTGGTGAATTCACCTACCCCAAAATGGGATCCCAAAACGGTGTTGACCCACAGCCATATGGCTTCCTTTCAGGGAATCCCCGGGTTCCAATTACGAAAAATGAGGGGATGACCCCTATTCACCATCTTCTATGGCTTCCCCAACACCCCGGCTCGGTCATTCCCTGAGCACCAGCGAGAATCTCGCCACTTCGTTGGAGGCGCCGCCGCCGCCGCCGCCGGTGGCCGCGGTCCCAGCTTCGCGCATGAAGGTTCCGCATCGGCGGATAAAAATGGTGCGGCTCAAAGGAAGGTCCAGGGGAAACCGCCCATGGGTCGCTTCCATTGGCTTAAGGCACATCTTTTCTTTTTTCTTTTCCCCCGGTTGGTTTTTAACAGGAATCGAGCACGACTGGATCTTTTTCCAGGGGGCGAAAAAGCAAATGGAAGGTTGCCTGAGAGACAAGCCCATGTTGAGTTTTTGGGGTGTCCTATTGGTTTGGCAGGTGGATTACTCGTGTCAGGGGAGTCTCCGTGTTCTTGGTCAATGCTTGACTCAATTCATGGTAGCAAAGATTCGACTCCTAGGCCTTTCACCAAGATTGGTTCCAATTTGCAGGGTGTCCTTGCCTTTGAAACCGCACGACTCACGACTCTTAAGGTCGAACCTCTTAGGATCGGCGTGCCCTTGGCCCGCTTGTTACCCATTCATTTGTCGGGAGGTTGAGAGTGAGAGTGAGAGTGATCAAAGCTGGCCATGATGTCGCCAAGGAAGACAATAGGGAACACCCTCAAGAATGCTTGGCTGGGGGTCCTCAATTGAGGTTTATCCAATGTCCGAACCTCCGCGAGCTTACATGTGAGCGGTGGAGCTATGCTTTTTTGAACGCCTACGACAAAAGGCGGACGTGGGACGTCATGCTGAAATTCCAGACTGAAGAACGCAACAAATTCGTTGATTGTGAGTTCCCTAATCCGCGGCAAAGTAATACGAAACCCCAGTTCTTGCTCTCGAGAAATGCCAGTCCTGTTTTTAGAGCCCCAAAATGGCGCTTAGCTGTGCTGTGTCCTGTTTTTAGAGCCCCAAAATGGCGCTTAGCTGTGCTGTGTCCTGTTTTTAGAGCCTCAAAATGGCGCTTAGCTGTGCTGTGTCCTGTTTTTAGAGCCCCAAAATGGCGCTTAGCTGTGCTGTGTCCTGTTTTGTCCTGTTTTTAGAGCCCCAAAATGGCGCTTAGCTGTGCTGTGTCCTGTTTTTAGAGCCCCAAAATGGCGCAATGGTGTTCCTTTTGGTTTCCCTTGGAACTAATCCAAAAAGGGTAACCTCAAAAAGAAGCGAGCCACCCATTATAATATATATATATATATATATACACATGTATTTTGCTTGCAAGAGGTAAAATGTGGATCTTGGGGTGGGGTGACCATATATACATACATATATGTATGTATCAGTGAATCTTTTTGAGAGGTCTCTAGCAGAGCCGCGGCGGACATTCGTTGCAGGTCTGCTTACAGACCTCTGTAACAAGGCCTGCCATTGCATACCCTTTGTTACACCTCACATTATCCCTCGTTACATACCCAGATGCATGCCCAGACTCTCAGAGATATTCAACGGGTGCCGCACACACTTTTGCAGAGCATGCTCTCGATGAAGAGTCAACTTGTAGAGAGCTTGCCATTCAGAAGGAAAGTTGGGACAGGGACAGTAGCAGGGAGGGGCCGGAAAGAAGCCTCTCACAGCCTGTTACATAGCCGTTACATCCCTTGTTGCAGACCTAAGCTGGAGCTTCGAATAGTTGCGACGTTCGAGCTGGAGCTAGGGCCGTTGTTGTTCTGCGCTACATTGTTACATTGTGCCACTGATGCTTGTGAAGCACTGTTTTCCCGTTACACAACAAAGATTCGCGCCTCGTCTCGTCGCGCGCTGCATGCCCTGAAAAGCTCATAGCAATAGATGTACATATATAGATATATACAAGCGAATACATGTACTATGAGGGTACATGGCAGGGAAGGCTATTTTGGACAATCTGCTTGGCTCTTGATCAAGGGACCTTTTTGGCGACACCTGGAAGGAACGAAAGAGGCGTACAGAACATTCAGAGATCCTTGCTGCGCTGTGTTTGGGCTTCCTTATGAAAGCAATCTTGCGTCATGCATTGTATTGTCATACTGCCCCCCCGCTCCCCCTTACAATGAAGAAGGAAGTCGCGGGTGAACGTGTGTCTAGGTTCTGCGCGAAACGCGTGTCCAGGATCCCCTGCTGTTGTAACCCTTTGTAATTCTCAAATGCCGGAAAACGTATCCGGGCTTCTTTTTGTGAGAAAAGCGGCAGTCGGGGCGGCGTTGTGTGATTGGAACATGTAGAAGCCGTGTATCCATCCGGGCGAATCCGGGGCATGTCGCGGCGATTGCAAAGCTGGGTGCGCGCTGCCAGCTCGCGCGCACGTGTGCATGGGCGCCGTTTTTGGTGGCCCGGGCGTGGGCGGCGAACCCGCATCACTGTCATGAGTCTGAGGTAACGAGCTCGTGTTTGAAGTATGTTGCTGGGGCCGGAACTAGGCCCGAAAAAAACCCGCGTTTTGACCTTCTCCGCTGTGGGCCCTCATTGCTTCTTTGCAAAGCTGCAAGATGGAAAATTTCTGCGCTGTTTAGGCTGTGACAGCGCTCGGGGCCTCCCACCTTTGTCCCAGGCGGGCGTGGTGTGTCGGCAGAAGCTGCAGCGGCTTGCTTTTGCTTGCCAGCTGTCTTCGCTGTAAGAAGCGCTGCCAAAGCGGCATGTCCAACGCTGGTCCGCTGCGGGCCCTCATTGAACACATGTATATGCTTACTTTTTCATGTCTTTCCTCTTTTTTTCCATCTGCAAACGCAAGCAAATGTTTCTTGAAAAGCCCGCCTGCAGGTCATTGCATATCGTTGCTGCCTGATTCGCGTCCCTTATGCAAATTTGAAACTCCATTCTATTAGGAAATCAAACTTCTAACAAGCTTCCATCGTTATAAAATCTTGATGGATCCATTGATTCTTCAGCCCAATTCGAGCAATGGCGTCATCAGGTAGAGCACGTCAGGCGGATGCAGATAATGTTTTAGTCAACGCAGTAGGTGGGAAAAACCAGCCCTAGGAAAAACACCTCTACCATATCTAGATTCCAAATCACAAGCTGTATTCTGATTAAACCCTGTTCCTAAAACGTTCCACTAAAAGAACTGTTAAAACACCAAGTCATAACTCCTCTTGAAGTTCTCTTTCCGAGTAGAGCTTCTATCTGAGATGTCCTACCTGCAGGTCATGGCATATCATTCCTGCTTGTTTGGTGTCCCAGCTGCAGATTCAAACCAAGTACATCGTATTTTCAATGAAGGACTCCAAGCGTACTTTGCGTACTACACTTGTACTACAAAGTTGGAGCTGCGGAAGCGAAAGTTGCGATTTTCGAGCTGGCTGACGATGCGGAAGTGTGCTTCGCGTGCTACGCTTGTACTACAGAGTTGCGTGTAAGGCCTCTTGTGAAAGCTCCTTAAAGGGCTTCTTCAAACATCCTTCCGAGGCTTCCTAAACCAAATAAGATGTATATATACATATATACATGTATATGTACATACATGCATATATTTCTGAATGTGTATATGTATGGCAGATTTCTTTTAGTTCCCCAGGAACCTCAAAACAAGAATGCTTTCAGGGCAATACAACGTAAACCTAAGATGCTGAAACATCTCAACCCCAAAACCCACTGAAGCGAGCGGTGTCCGAGGATCGCGCGGCCAACCACAGCTTCTTTTCCGACCTGGCCGCGCAGATGCTCGGCGTTGGTTGGTGAAGCCGCCGGCTTCTGGTTTCTGGCGGCTGAATTTCAAGAGTGTTTTCTTGAACAAAATCTTAAAACTGTATTGTCAAGATCTGAACTTTTCCAACATGTGTTTTCCAGTGGTTGGTGGGGAAGTCACCTGGTGCTTGAAACCAAAAAAGAAGATAAGCCCCGCTTGGCCGTGGGAGACATTTCTGTCCGCTACCCCGCAGACAGGGGGGAAATTTTGGGCCTTTGGTTTCCTGCCTTGTGACACACCCCTGAACCTCTTGGGGCTCGGTTTTGTGTCCTTTAAGTTGTGATGTTTTTCGCACATCCTCATTTCGTCTCCAGATCCCACCAATAGATGACAGGCCATGCCAAAACCAGCGCCCAGCCCCATTGGCTTCGATGAGGCTCGTTTCCACTCAGGGACCGGGGACAAAGATCCCCCGGTTTCCTCCAAAGGGGCGCAGCGGACATGTTTGGCGTCAAAGGACATGCGCGTCAGATAGGCAGACATGCGTTTACAAGGGGTATTGGCTAAGCTGGAGGTCCGTGTGACTTGCGACGGCACCATTTGCATTTGAGCTATGAAGATGTAAAATGGATCCTCTGCTGTCCTAGTTTTCATTGTTTGAGATGGCATCGTTGAAGCGATGGCCGCTTCACTGCTGGATGATTAGGAGGGCTGGGCAATTCAACCCATACACCCATCCTCGTCGTCCAATCAGTGACTCAACCCATCTCCTTTTGGGTCGCAAATGGGTCCTGCTGTAAGGGAGCCCATTTCTTGTGGTAAAGGGAAACCACAAGTTGGACATGGTTGCAAATTTTTGGGGTCCGAATCCTAAAAAAGACACCCATGCATATTCCTGGTAGGTCTGTTGCTAAGAGGACATGGGGGGTCTATCCAATATCCCCTATTTCTCACACAGGGAGCCTACCCTGTTGAACTCGTCCCCTAAACAGAGACACCCATATCGGAGTGGGCCCTATCATAAGTACCCAAAGGACACCAACATGTGAACGCCTTTAGTTGGCCAGTAACTTGGGCCGCCGAAAAGGACACTCACTTTTACATCGGCCCCAAAAAAGTATGTTTAAACAACTACACCCCTCGTTCCGAACCATTTTTGGAGTCGAAACGGGGAAACGGGGGAACACGGGAAGGACTCCAACCCCCAACGGGAGAATTCCGGCCGCCGCGCGCCTCGACTTTCGAGGACCACGGATCTGCTGGCGAAGCGCTTCGAGGAGCGGCTGAATGGCGCAGCGGCGCAGATCCGCCGCGCCTACGCCCAAGCCCTGCAGAAGGCGCCCCTCGCCGGCGGTTCGGCGGGTCGGGTGGGTTTGGCGGTTCGATGGCGGTGGGCTTGATCCGGGCGGTGGGGCGGTCAAAAATGTTCCTATGAGGCTGCGGCGGTCTCGAATTCCCCGAATTCCCGAAGGAACGAGAAGGCGGTGGTTGTCCAAAAGGGGTAACCCCAGAATGGCTTGCCCTGGTAAATGGAAACATGGACGTAAATTCCTGCGGTTTTTCTAGTGGTTTGATGTTGGCTCTGACCCATACCCGTGGGAAACCGCCGGAAGAAACGAGAACGAGCAAGAGGGCCACAGGGCAATTTTTGGCCGGGGATCGGTGGGTTATGTCTCCTTTTCAAACACCTGCCCAAAATTTGGTCAGAGGGGCTGATCCATGGAGGTAGGGTTCGTGGGGCGGATGGGTGGCCGGGGGGGCTTTTGTGCTTCTGTTTTAGGGTACCTGCATGAAATGAAATGCGAAAGGCGCTTCAACTTGCGGTTTCCCTTGAAGATCTACTCAAAAGAAGGGGTACCCTGAGTTAAAAACAGGCTCGCATGTGTCTAATGTTGACCTCGGATTGACCTGGACTGTACTAATCAAATGATCAATTTTAGGGGGGTTCCCTGACTCCAGGGATCCTCCGGATGAATCTGGAGCTAACAATATTGAGGGTACCCTCTTTAGGCTTGGTTTAAAGGGACACCAAAGACGAACCGTTTGGCCAGTTTGGGGGATTTTTTGACACACCCTGTGTGGTTTTCGCCATGGAAGACCCACGTAAAACTCCACTAATCACATCCAGCTGATTGGGGCGTGATGATTTTGGCCGAATTTCTTTGGTGGTTTCCTTTGTCCCTTGGTGGCTTTCGCACTAGAAATGTCCCCAATTTCTGCATTCTGCAGGACTTGGGCGGCTGGAGTATAGCTGTAGGGTCTTTAGGGTTTAGGTTTGGAGTTGTTTGGGTTTAGTTGTTTTAGGGTTTAGGTTTACAAGTTGGGAGACCGGGGCCTTGGTCGGGGCTTCCCGTTCCAACGCCCCAAAACACCGGCCCTGCGCAGCAATTTGCGCTTTGGTGGATTGGAACACTCCAAAAGCACAGTTCCCGCAAGCACAGTTCCCGCGGGTTCACTTCCGCAGGTTGGCGAGTTGGGCTATCGGTATGGCCTTGCGCAGAAATTTGCAGCGGCTACCTCGTTTTGAGCGTTAGATCAGCGGTAGAGATGGTGCTGTTGAATAGGAGCGAATGTTGATGTGGACATTCTCCTCATCCGCTGATCACCATGAAAGTTCTTTACTCGACGACACCAGGATCCCTGATTTGTCGTCTTGGATTCTGTATCAAACATGCAAATACTACACATTGTTCTTCATAAATTGTCGTACAATTCATTACGTTGCATTAACACAAGTACAGGGTACATCACATGACATCTTTGCAGATCACCATGACATTAAATTGCATTGCATCGCGTTGCATCATATTGCATTGCACTGCACTGCACGGCATTGCATTGCATGCATTGCATGCATTGCATTGCATTACACTGCCCTGCATTGCACTGCCCTGCATTGCATTACATTGGATTGCATTCTGACACGCCATTACTTTCGATTCGCACGCAGACATGCATGCAAACACACAAACACGCAACAAACTGCGATGCATCACACTGCAAGGCAGTGCAATACAACACATACACATGTCTGCAGACATTTTTGTATCTCTCGTTTTTTGTTTCGTGGTTTACTCCGAGCCAAGTGGCTTCCGAAGCTTCGGCTGCTGCTTCGGTTGGGGTTTTGTCAGGAGAAGGACGCCTTCCAGCGGCAGCTCACGGAGCTCACGGCGCACTTTGCCACGGCGAAAGGAGAGGCGCTGCCGGCGTTTTGGGGTTTTGGGGGCGACGCCGCTTCGCGCGCTTCGCGCGCGTTTTTCTTTTTTTCTTCTTCTTTTTTTCTTCCGGATTCAGAAGAAGAAACCATGAAAGCGAGAGGGTAAGGGCCATCCATGCCTTTCAGTGTTGGGTATTCTGGTCCACATTATTTGATATCTCCATCCTTTGGTGATATCTTCAAGCTGCCAAGCTAGTCTCGCCCAGCTGGGGAAGCCATCGTTCATTCCGATCGAGGAAACACTCCCGTCGCCAGTTGCGTTGGCACCACTTCTGCTTTCTCCAGCTGGGCAGGGCGTCCGAATTGGTCCGCCCGGGGTCCGCCAGTGGCATTTCGCCAGGCCGATGTGGGTCCGAAGGACACGAAGGCCCGGATCCCATGCGAACGCCAAACCCGGCCGTCAGGGTCCAAACTGTGGGCAGAGCTGTGGGCGTTTTGGCTCCTACCATGGCAGCCCCGAAAAGCCAACGAACACGGCGTTAAAAAATTCCTTGTGTCTCAGGGACTGAGCGTGAGAGACTTGGAAGCCCTACGACACATCTATCGGTTGATATGCCCCGGTCCCCCTTTCCCAACTGTCGAACTACCAAGCCTTTGGTTTCTTTGTGTTCTCCAGCCCCGCAACTAGTTTATGTCGATTGGGACAACATCACTGCATGCTCAAACTTGCGATCCGACGCTGTTGCTCTCTGCTTCAACGGCGTTGCGAAAGTCGACCCCCAGTCGACTGCAGAGAACACGGGTTGGTCTGAGAGGAGGCGTTTCCGGAGGTGGTTGGGTTCCACAACCAACAGTGGATGGGACTCGACACAGCCACTGCCGGTCTTGCAATCCCGAAAAGGGTAGAGTCAAACAAGACACCCGTTTCCATGCCAGATTGCAAAGACGGCAAAGCCACATCCACACAAGCCAACGCCAGACTCCAAGCAACACATCGATGATCAAGCATGAATCTTATCAAGCATTGTTTTGTGATGAAAGGGACACCACACACGTGTAATTAGCGACCTCCATGGGAGATTGCACTCATGTCTGGCCTACTTTCTACCAATTTTGTTTCACTTGAGGGGGAACAGCACATATATGGTACAGCGTTGCCAGTCCCCCCCCCCCCCCCCCCCAATGGTCATGGGTCAGACAAGTACCCCCCCCCCCCCTGTGGTTGTGGTCCTGTGGTTGGGTTGTGGTGGTTTAGGCTTGGTTTAGAATTGGTTTAGGGTATATTTAGGGTGTATTTAGGGTTAGTTAGGGTTGGTTTAATATGTTGATTTAGGGTTGGTTTAGGGTTGGTTTAGGTTTAGAGGTGCACGGTTTAGAGGTGTACGGTTTAGGGTTTGGTTTAGGGTTTGGTTTAGGGTTTGGTTTAGGGTGTATTTAGGGTTGGTTTAGGGTTGGTTTAGGTTTAGAGGTGTACGGTTTAGAGGTGTACGGCTTAGGGTTTGGTTTAGGGTTTGGTTTAGGGTGTATTTAGGGTTGGTTTCGTGGTAGTTGAGGGGTGGTTTAGGGTTGGTTTAGGTTTAGGGTTTATTGTTTAGGGATTGGTTTAGGGTGTATTTGGGGTTGGTTTATGGTTGGTTGCGGGTTGGTTTGTCCTGGGGGTGGGGGTGCCGGGGTGTCGGGGTGCAAGTTCAGGGGTGGGGGTGGGACCGTAGGTGCCAGGATCCGGGGGCTCGGGGTCTCGGGCTGGGTCCTGGGGTACCCATACCATCTCGGGGGGGGGGGGGGGGTAGCAACACGGAACACGGGACCATATTATATATATATATGTATATGTTTATGCACAAATTTCATTTACGCATTGCTTCAAGCGAATATTTTGTTCAATTTACGCATGTGTTGTAGCGACAGAGTGCAGGTCCAGCCCATTTTCAGCGACGCCTTGCTTCAAACTCCCAGCCTCTTCGAGGGTTTTTGAGGCCCTCTGAGGCCCCGTTGAGGTGGGGAGCTTCGAAGAGGCCTCGCGCCTTCAGCAGCAGGCGCAGATCTCACCCCCAGTTGTCGAATGCCCAGGTTCCCCCCACAGCTTTTTTTTCCCCCCAGCAGCTGAGAGCTTTGGGGTCTCAGCCCAGATAGGCTCCGGGGTGGTCCGGGGCGGCCCTGAGGTAAGGTTCCACAAATGTTCCACCAAGGTTCCATGAGGGTTCCACCAGGGTTTCACGAGGTTCTGCGAGGGCTGCGGGGCAGTGCGCGCAATAAAAAGAACACTGCATGCTGTTGGGGATGTCACCTGAGCTTATTTTTTGGGGGGGAAACCAACGGCCTTTGTTTTATTCTTCTTATTTTTTCTTGTTTGGGGGTGTGTGGGAGAAACTCCTCCACGACTTGTTTATTTATTTTTTTGGGAGGGGAGGGAGTTTCCCCCACGACTTGGTTTTTTGGGGAGGGGGACCCTCCGTTTTTTTTTTTGGGGGGGTTTTCCGGTCGCGAGGAATTTGAGTTGAGCCAGGTGCTAGGTAGGATTGGGAAGGGAAGGAATCTGTCGCCATGCGCACAACGGCGTTTTGCGAAGCTGAGAAGCTGAGGATGCTGAAGGTTTCTTTGTGAGAGATGGGAACGAGACGCGATATGTTCTAGCCAAGGACCGAGGTTTTTATGGGTTTGTTTGACTCAAAGGGGGACGTGAGCCGTGAAACAGATTCCTCAACATGTATGTTACAACTTTGCTATATATGAATCAAGCTTTAGCATTCCGCCCCTTCTCCATCATTTTCATATGATTGACTTTTTGATGTTTGTTCGCTCCATATTTTTCGCACACTTTCAATGGAGCAGTCGCACACTTGCCTGATGCCATTGTTTGTTTAGCGCACTCCCTTATATTCTTGTAATGTTCAGCTCACGTTTACATTTCATGACCTATGCTGACTGGTTGAAGCACCTTTGACGCAGTTTCTTCATCTTTGTATTTGATTGCTCCGTTGAAAACCATCCAACAAATGTGTCCTTGGTAGATCTCAAAGCAGGCCATGAATAGAAAAGGGCACCAACTCCAGAAAAGACAGATGATAGGAGCCAGCTGCCTGTCCTTGGCAATCCTTGGACGCAAAAGCACTGGAGCGACCAGGAAATTGTCCACCTCAACCTTTCGCACAAAAAAGCATAGTTCAAGGCCAATCTGTCCACCAACGTGATTTCCAAGCCCATGAGAGTGCCCCTTCTGATTTCCTCCGAACAAATTCCCAGTTTTAAGCCCACAGTGGATCACAAGCAGAATCAGAGGTTGGCCCGGAGTCCGCATGAACCCTGACCCATGCGTTGAAACGTCCGTGCCAGGTGGGCATCTCCCTTCCCAAAAGCGAGCAGATGCGAAAACCTAGGGCCAAACGTGAGAACCGAAAGAATCAAGGCCAATCAAATCCATGGACAATTTCATCTTGCGGAAGGTGACAGCATCTGGAGGGTCCCTAAATTTTCAGGCATGTTTTTTGGAATGGAGTGGGACCCGTACAATGAACTCAAAATACCTCATGGGAGACTCGCCTTGATCCGTCTCAAAAAAGAAGGACCCTAAGAGAATCCTAAATCAACTGGACACGTTTGCTTCTTGAAACTTTTCCAGGAGACGTGAAGAAGAGGACAACCAACCATTTATTTCCTCCCTGGAAAAGGGAATCGATTTTCAGTTTTTTCTCCCGCCAAATGTCTTGGGAGGACAACCAACCCCTCCGAAGGCGTCCGCCGCCGCGCGCAAGACGCGCGGCTGCCAGGTGTCTGCGCTGCTGGAGCAGCCGCGGCCGCGGCTGGATGGGGAGGAGGTGGCCTACTGCCAGGCGCGAAATGGTGGCGCGGCTGGCACGGCGCGCGGTTCGGGAACGGGGGAACGTGGGGGGGGGGGGGTTGGGGGCCCGTTGGGTGTGTGGGTGTGCGGGTGTGGGGGTGGGGGTGTGGGGAGGGTGGGTGTGGGTGGGTTCGCCTCAAAAAAGTCGCGGACGGTACCATTGGGACGGCTTGGCAGTGTTATTTCCCATTTTGCTAGATCCCCCCCCCCCCCCAGAACAAACAAAACACGATTAAGGTCAGGTGATATCCCCAACAGCATGCGGTGCTCGTTTTAGTGCTCGCACCACCCCGCAGCCCTCGCAGAACCTGGTGGAACCCCCTTGTGGAACCCTGGTGGAACCCTGGTGGAACCCTAGTGGAACCTTGCCTCAGGGCCGCCCCGGATCACCCCAGAGCCTATCTGGGCTGAGACCCGAAAGCTTTCAGCTGTTGGGGGAAAAAGAAGCAAAAGGAAAGAAAGAACGCCGGTTTTCAACTTGTGTTTTCCTGTAAAATTGCAAACACCAAGTACCATAGAAAAAGACAAAGTCAAATTCAGTTAAATGAAGAGGGGGAGATTCTAGGCGTTCAACTTAGGGTTGTTCTGCTGGTTGGTAAAGTGACACTGATTCAGATCTGGTTTGACTTGGGTCATTCCCAAGCGACCGATATGCATCTGGATCTTTGTATATAGGTGGGCTGGTGTCATGGGTTCTCCCCAATATGCATCCATCCAGAGCAAGACCAGTTTGGCATTTTAATGAATTTGAGGGGCTAGATGATCAACATTTGGCTATCATGATTATCATGTCTCAATTTGGTCTTGAATTACCCTGCAACCCCGTTCCGATCATGGCCCTTCTAGCACCGCTCCCAAGAGGAAACGGGAGGGGGGGTGGCTCGACAAACCTGCGCTCACTGCGACCGGCCGGAGAGATGGATCTGAGAGAGCGCTTCCGTTCGCAGGCTACGGCCCTTGTGCTGAAAGAGCTGCTGAAAGACGCGGACCGGCTCCGTGAGTATGGCGCGCGAATCGCTTTGGACCGGGTTTTGGGAGGAAGGGGAGGGGCTGGGATTCGCGCAAGCGCGGAGAAAAAGGATGCGGGATGAAGGGACAGTCCCCAGGAGGTGCGGATATCCGCCTGTTTGATTCCTTGCAAGGATTTCTGCAACAAGTCCCTACGAAACTCTGCGATTGCCGCGAAAGATGCCCCAAAAAGCACCCTGAGATCGCTAGAAATCTGTGGTGTGAGGAGCTCTCGGCTTCTCTTTCTTTGGGCTCCCAGGGATGTGGGAGTGGGAGGAGAACGCGCGATGGAAGAGGGAGGAAGCATTCCCCAAACATGGGGTTGATTCCTTTTCCATTCTTTGCAACCATGGTTCTTTTCAAAAACCAGCTGTTTCCCAAGGGTTTTGGTTGGGGGCGGTTTCTGTTAGAAAGAAGGTGTCCATTCTTTGCAACCATCGTTCTTTTCAAGAACCGGATCTGTTTCTAGAAAGAAGGATGCCTGGAAAGAATGGGGAAGGTACTCCTAGACCCATGGCAAAAGAGAATCCAAAGGCGGGGGCTTGAACTATGAATTGGTCAAGGAGTCATTGTTCCGGAGCCTTGTCTGGTCATTGTTCCTGTTCCGCAGTCTGTGGTTGCCCAGAGCACCGCCAGGCCAGCGGCGCCTTGCCGCGCTGTCCCTGGATTTCCGGCCCAAGGCGGGCATCGTCTGCCCAGGCGGTCGAGGGGAGCATGTTGTTTTGCGGATGTCTTTTTTCTTTCTTTTTTTACATATTCACCTCTGTTCTACCTTTGGTGCATTTTGTTTGGATGTCAGTTAACTTTTTGCCAACCAATGGGCTTTCCATTCAACCACTACAGGTTAAACTTTTAGCAGGGGAGCAGAAAGCAACCGAGAAGCCGTGGCGCTGAGTGCCTCAGGGGGCGCTCTAGCAGGCGCTCTCTCTAGGGCTTTCCAAGCTATGCAGCGCGGTCGCCCCCCGAAATTGCGGGCGCTTGAGCCAGCCGCATTTTACCAAACAACTCACGCTCCCCGCCGTGGCAGTCTATCGGGCCGCAGCGTCCTGAAGCACAAAACGCAGGCAGGCGCATTCCTTTGGAGTCCTTGATGTCATTCAGGGGCCCCATCTGCCAAGTTTCTACCCACGGATTGCCGATGAGCCGAGACATTGCCAGGGACTCACGGGGAAGGAGTACCCGGTGACGGTGCACCCAGCCGTGGACACGGTCATGGAGGCGAAGAAAGGGGCTGGGGGATGTCGGGGCCTTGAAGCCTCAAGTGATCAAGTAGGATGGCGGCAAATGGAAGACAGACCAAACTCATTGCCCACAAAAACACCTTCACACAACACAACAAGCATAAGCCCAAACACACACACAGAAGCGCAAACACAAGCACAAGCACAAACAGAAGCACGGACACACACACACACACAAACAGAAGCACAGACACACACACACAAACACAGACACAAGCACAAGCACAAACACAAGCACAAACAGGGACACAAACACACGCACAAAGCAAACACATGCACAACCACTGACACAAGCGCAAGCATAAACACAAACACACACGCACGCCTATTTGAGCATTCATGGAACTGGGACTCCTAGTGGGATTGCCAGCAAAATACTTTTCAGAATGACATGGAACTCTCAAAACGGGGATCCACAAGAGATTCCTCTAAATTGTTCTTGGGTCTTCATGCAAATTCGCAGGAGTGTACAGTGGGGGAGTGGAAGGCACACTTTTCTTCCAGTTGGGTATTGACATCCCTTTTGCTTCCTTACATATACCGGAAATTGTGCCATCTACTGCCACCCTCACGTGTACCCCTGATTCTATGCCAAACACACATCCAAAGTCCGACTCCTTTTGGCAACGGTGGGTTTCTCTTTAAGCGAACCTGAAAAGTGTAGCATCAACAAAAAAACACAAGCCCGTGATGATGGAACCAGTCGTTCCCTAGTGAGGTTTTATGGTGGGAGCGTAGCTCCAAACCACCAAAGCCACTCTCTGCAAACCACTCCGAACCCATCTCACCCCGTCGAAGCCCGTTCAAAGCACCAAAAAAACACCTAAACCGCGCTCCAAGCCACCACTCCAAACCACTCCAAGACCCCAAGCCCGTCCCAGGCCTTCCAAGCCAGGAGGCCGCCCGCCATCAGCCCGCCTCCGCTTCCGTCCGCGTCGGTCGGGCGATTCCGGTCACGAGGTGAAGCGCCGGCTGCGAGGCGGCCACGGCCTGGAGAGCTGCGTGGTGAAGCTCTGCACCACGGGGGACGGCCTGGTGGAGCTCTGCGATGCGCAGCCCATGCGGCGTGGAAAAATGAGATGGGGGGGGATGGTGGGTGTGGGGGGATGGTGGGTGTGGGTGGGTGGGTGGGTGGGTGGGTGGGTGGGTGGGTGGGTGGGTGGGTGGGTGGGTGGGTGGGTGGGTGGGTGGGTGGGTGGGTGGGTGGGTGGGTGGGTCTGTGGGTGGGTGGGTGGGTGGGTGGGTGGGTGGGTGGGTGGGTGGGTGGGTGGGTGGGTGGGTGGGTGGGTGGGTGGGTGGGTGGGTGGGTGGGTGGGTGGGTGGGGGTGGAGGGAGGGGGGGGGAGGGAGGGGGGGGGAGGGTGGGGGGAAAGGATGAAGCTGTTTTTTTTGAAGACTTGACACGATCTGTAGGCCCGACAGAAAAGTTGGCACGGACCGTGTTCCCTGGTAGGGGTTCTCAACACGGTTTCATTTGGAGAGTAATTTTGAGCGTGTGAATGGACCCAGTTGGGGTGTAGCGGAACACGGTACAGGAGCAACGTATCGGGTGGCTGTTAGGGACGGATCAAGTCCAAGCACCTATTTTGGGTGTGAGGGAAATATGTGTGCTGGGCGGGGGGGGGGGGGCGTGGCTGCTACTCATAGCTATTTGCCCATGTAGCTTCTAAATTCAAAATGCTCTCGGATAAGCTGGGATTGATTGGCTTGCCAGCTAATGAATGTGGCTGGCTAGGTAACTTTCAACCACCAAAATAGGTATTTCAGTACCCAACCAGCTAGCTAGCTGGCAGCCAATCAAGCTTTGGCTGAGGATTGCTGAAGAATAGCGGTTGCTCGTCGCAACAGTTGACGGCTTCAATGCTCACAAGGTAATTTGATCTAATAGTACCCCACAATCCTATTCTAATTATTTTGACCCTTATAGTACTCAGACATATGACAATGTCGGTGAACATGCTTGTCTACTTGGGCCCCATAATTTTCACGAAGATTCGATGACACACTCGGTCGAGCTTGGGCGGTTTGGTATTGAGCAGGGTTGGGCAAGAATGATTTAGTGTTCACTGAGACATGAAACAATGTCTATCCTCGACGACCCCTAAGCTCGGATCCCGGCGAGCATTTTGTGGATCACGGGATCGCAAGGCCGCCGTTTCAGGGGATCGTTGCACCATCGCCACTCACCTCCGGCATGGAGCTTTGTTGCTGGCCCATTTTTCAGAATGCGCAGCTATCGATGATGCCAGCCGTTCAAATGCCTTGTGCAGAGTGAGAGAACCAGCTGTATCACTCAATAGTGGTTCCCGTAATGATTTGAAAGCAACCACACCAGCCAAACCGAGAAGGACACTCATGGCTTTTGGCGGGTAGCACAATGTTTGCTTCGCCAGGCTTCATTCGGCAGGGACAGCTGGCTGGCGTTCAACCTGTACCGGAGAGTCACCCCAAAACCATTTGGCGAGTTTTTCTCCCCAAGACCTCGGGGTTTTTCGCAAAACCAGCCAACCAAAACCACCTGAACTCGGCCTTGGTCCAAAAACACACATACACAACAAGTACAACAAGAGCAGCACAAACAACACAAAGAAACGCCGAGCTCCTTTAACACCGTCCGAAGAAATGAACAAGAAGACAGCGCAACACAACAACAAAGTCACACAAACAACAACACAGCAGCCAAACCCACGACAAAGCGCAACACAAAACACAAAACAAAGCGCAGCAAGAAAAGAAGAAGCAACAACGACAACAGCCCTTTCCAGTAGCAAGGCGCAGCAAAACAACCAAAAAAAGGCGACCAAGCTACCAGAAAAGCCAAAAAAACCCACCAAAAACTGAGCCTTCTAGACGCTTGGGCTCGGAGGATGGACTACAACTTGGCCCAGGAGCTCACGGTGATCTTCGTGGACAGCCTGGTGGCCAGCCCCCTGGTGCGGCTCGGCTTCGAGGACCCCAACGACCTCAGCTTCGAGTCCGTGTCGGGGCGCGCAGGCGGCTTTTGCGGGTGGGGGGAGCCAATTTTCCGGGCGCTGTGAAGCTCCCAGAGCACTGGGAGGCTCTTATTAATATATACATATATACATATAATATATATACACAATATAAAATATAATATTATTTTTTATACACATAATATATACATATTTTTACATACCCAGCTCGCTACTTTCAGTGAGCTCAGCTTCAGCTCATGAACTTTGCTCAGCATGGGCTTGTGTCAAGATCAGCAAGCCTTGAACACGGGCACCGACCCCAAAAAGGGCACCTACCCGCACAAGCCCCCTGCGACATGGTTGGGTTCCTTTGAACTTCAAACAACCCCCAAAAGGGTACCAACCCGAAAATGGCAACCCCAAAACTAACTTGTTGGTACCAACCCCGATTTTTCCTCTAAACTTGAAAAACACCCCAAAAAGGGAACTAACTCAAGACAGCACCCCCACAAAGGACCCTCGGCATCTCTCGCCCGATGCGTGCGCCTGCACGCACACGCACACCCTTCATGTTCCAGGACCTTCAGGCTTGCAATCCCTCGGATCCACACAGATTTGACATGCAAAAGATGTGAAAGGCACCCGCCAGGAAAAAGGAGAGACCATTTTGATCAAGCCGTTTTCTCATTTCCGGGTCGCGCCCAGTTTTGGACCCCGCCGTTCCTGGAGCCTCTGATCTCAGAAATGGACTCGGGCCTCGGGCCCCGGGCCCGCCCCGACGCGGGCGCGCCGACGCGGGCGCCCGGCAGGCAGTTTGGAGGAGCCCGGGGAGGTGGAGTGGGTGAACACTCTGGGCAAGCGCCTCGGATTCTCGGAGTTTCTCGGAGTCGCATGTGACGGTATCTCGAGACTGGAGCCAAACTGGATGAGCAAAGTTGGTTGCTCTAGTGTAATTTGGGGGGGGGGGGGGCGGCGGATGATCCCCGGAACTCCATGTCTTTTGCTCCTCGGGGGGGGGCAAGACTGAAGCCTCCTCAAGGTGGGGGGCGGGCCATTGGGCACACTCGCCATTATGGGGGGCTACCAAGCATCCATGTCAGACAGGAATATTGACTGAAGGGTGTGAACTGCCAAGAGTCAAACCGCCCGTGAGGAAGAGTCATGGATCTCTTCAGGATGATGAGGATTCACGGTACAGGACCCCCCCCAAGGAAAGCAAGGGGCAAAAGGAACAAGTTTGGACCGAGGAAGGGTGTGAACATCAAGAACCGCGGTTGCATCGTTCTCCCAGAGCCCATCCAACTGCGTGAGGCCGCTCTTGGTGCACGGAGCCCATGGTGGTATCTCAGAATAGCGCCTCCCAAAATGGGGTGGTTTCAGACTCTCCAACCCGACAAATCCGGGAATAGGAGACCAGGTTTTTTGTGGACGGTGACGCAACAGGGGGTTCCGGGCCCGGGAGCCATGATAAGACTGACAAGAGTTCGGTCCGTACACGGCACATGTGCGCGGCCGTTTTCGAGTGGCGGTCTATCTTGGAAGCTGGGGGCTGCAGCAAATATCGGCCACTTGTTGCACGGATTGATATGGTCGAAGTTGATGAACATGAAGCAGCGACATGCTGGGCTCACCGGACACGTGCGTGAAGAATGTATGTGGCAAAATGGGGAACCCCGAAATGGATGTCGTTTTATTCTTTTGGCTTCCTAGACCAACGTGACAATACGCTTTTGCCCCAGCCCAAAGCGCGTCTTTTTTTTTTCCGCAACCGCCGAAGAGGAATGGACGATCTCGGTGTGGACCCTGGCGCCCATTGACGTCAACGACCACACCTACCGAGACCTCGTAGGCAGGACAGCCCGGCAAAGGTCAAAGGATGCGATGTGTTTCTTTGTTTGGACAAAGAACGTGGGCGGTTTTCCTTTTGGGTCTCCTTTAAAACCAGCCAGAAAAAGGTTCACAGCAAAGAAGAAAATACAATCGAACGGACACCATGCAAAGCAAAGCCACCCATATGCCGGGTGCTCCTGCTGTGTTTTTGTTGGCAGGTTAGAGGTTTTGTGAGGAGCCCTCCCCATGGTCTGCATCACATTTCGCCGTCACCTAGCCCACCAAAAGGTAGCGCAAGATTCAGGTCGGAAAATATGATGCCTGGCATCTTGATCGCAGACTGCGATTTTTTAATGAAGGATCCGGAATAGAGCACCTTTCAGCAATCCCTCATTGGCATTTGAGGGCATCCCAGTACTTCAGAAAGACCCGAATTGTTTTTGTTGCTGGTTCCGCGGCTTCCGCCAAAAATGGCCGTGGGTCAACGGTACCATTTTGGGGTAGGTGCACCACCCATTTTAGTCTATTTTTGTGGGGATTGGGAAGCTCACTGGGGGTAACCCATAGCCCAATGGTCAACCAACCAATAGAAGAACCCCCGTTCTTTCTAGCAGGGCCACTGGCCACGTGGGGCATAAGGTAATTATCAGGCACGCCCGAGTTTGTGGCCCTGGAGTCCATGCGCAAAGAACCCCAGCCCTTGACGGCAGTTGGAAATACTGGGTAAGTCATACAAGCATAGGTGTCCTTTCTGGTTGTTCTGGTAGAAAAATAGATGCCGATTCCTGGTTTACCTGGTGGTCTCATCATCTGCCAGGGCCATCTATTTGCCCTCAAAGGACACCAGGCATACAACGCCTTGCATGCCTCATTGCCCTCCGCAGCTTGGCGCCCTTTCACCTTGGCGCCTTTTGCCACCTTGGCACTTCCTATGCAGCCGTGGGTCAACATCAATGGGATCCCATTTTGGTTGGTAGGTGAATTCACCCATTTTAGGACCTATTTTAGTGGTTGGATTGGGATGTTCACTGGGGGTGTGGGGTTTTGACCCACTTCCTATGCACCTCCGCGCCTCCAAAAACCTCCGCGTCACGCGCAGATTCCATGAGATCGCAGCAGCTGATTGCGGTCATCCTGGCGCGCGGGAAGCTTGGGCGCCTTGGCCTGAGCAAGAGGTTCTCGTCTCATGATTCAATGATCCCACATCGAAATTGGTTTGCCTTCCAAAGACTTGAATATTTTCTGCGTTCCGAAAGAACTCGGGTCTTGGATCTTGCGATGTGCACATTTGTTTTTCCTAGGGGCTTCCTTGCGCAAGAGCCGAAGGAAACCAAGCCGCTTGGGCGGGTTGGCCCCCCTTAAGCCGCGGGGTTTTGACCCATAGTCACTTATCCTGGAGCTGGTTCTCTTCGTGCCAAGTACCGGATCTTCCTGCACCTACCCCAAAATGGTACCATTGGTGTTGACCCTTATTTATTCATCATCTACTTCTCAACATTCAAGGGTTGTCTTCCGGAATAGGAGCGTCAATGACCACCCCTTGGCAGAACTCGCAAGCTTCCGAAAAAGCTCTGGAGGAGGGCATGACTGCGTGCCTTTGGCTTTTTTTTGTTTTTCTTTTTTTTTTTTAAAATCCTCTCTTCTTCTTTTTTTTGGGGGGGGGGAGGGTGTCTCTTTTTCTTTGCTTTTTTTGGGGGGTCGTTTTTTTAGGGGTATTTATTTTGGGTTGAATCCAAAGGAAATTCACCACCATGTGGGGGTCCCCTCCCGAACAGAAGAACCAAGGAACTACAATTCCAACTCCTTCATCGAGGGCTTCAACGTCCGCGACCTGACTCCGGGCTGGCACCACATCTGTGTGGTGGGGCATGGCCGAGTCACCACGCGCCTGCGAATGCAAGTCCGGACTTGTATGGAAGTGCTTGGACTGGTTTCAGAGCTTGCTGGCTCCCAGCCATCCCCTTAGCCTTTTAGCTTTTTCGTGTGTAGAGCCCAGAGAAGTGATCAAGCACTGGAAGAATGTGGGGATGGCTTGTTGACCAGGGTGCTCGAGTTATCTTTATTGAGAACATGGACACGTCAAGAGCTCTTTCATGGTTGCTGAGTTCGAAGCCGGTGAGAGAGCAGGACAGAGAGTGCGGCCGCATTCGGCTTTTCGCCGTGCGTGCTCCGAATACGTCTCCGCTTCCATGGTAGCCAGAGCTGGAGACTGGATGAAGTCTACCGGCTGAGCCTTTCACCTTTGTCAGAATGGTGGGCATCCCCATGGTCGGTTCCGCACAGATGGATTCATCTTCCGGGCAAGACGCTGCCATCGACTCCTCTTCACTCCTCACCCAACATTTGATCTTTTTTCATGCGCTAGTTCATGCAAGAGAAGGTTTCCCCAATACGCAGCAACAGTCTCAGCACAAAAACCAAAACAGAAGCAGCAGGAGGTGAAGTGGCACATGTGTTAGACAACGTCCTGAAAGCCAGATAGAGCCTATGGTCCAGCGCAGATCGGCGGCTCGAACTAGGAGACCCATTTGGTTGGTAAGTCAAGTCACACACACACACACTTCATCACTACATCTCGCAAAGCCAAGATCAATATTTTGTCTATACCGACCTCACCGGATATGCCGTGGGTTCCTCTTAGCCGCGACACCCTCACGCCCAAAGGGCCTCCAACCACCAGCTCCCCCCTCCGACACCGCCGAAGGCGCCGCGCGAAGTGCGAAGAACGCGCCGCGCGCTTTCGCGCGGGCGAGGTACTACGTGGACGGGCGCTCGGTGGGCTGCAAGCGGTGCAAGGCCCGGGGCGAGATCGGCGTGGTGGGCAACTCCCGGGGCTGCCGCGCGCCTCGGAGCCGAAGAGCAGAAAAGCGTGTGGGAAGGCGCTTGTTTTGGCTGTGAGAAATATCTCAAGAGAGAGAGAGAGAGAGAGAGAAACAGAGGGAGGGGAGGGGTTCAGAGAAGTTCGGTGTAGTGTTGGGCTTGAATTTGAGGTTCCTTTGTGGCGTTTTGTGCTGGTACCGGTGTGGAGTTGTGTGGTTCTCTTGCAATCAGAAAAACTCAGTTTGGGTTTGTGCCATACGTCCTTTCCGACGACAGGGGTTGCTTCGAACTGGGCCTGCCATTTCTGTCAGGAGAAAGGGGGGTGAGTGGTTAGGGGATGCTGCAGGCTGGTATTGAGCAGTTGGAGCCATGGAACTTGGGACAGGTGTGATTTCTTCATCAAAGTTAAAATAGGAATTGGAACCTTTGGTGCCTTTTGCTTGGCTGTTAGGACTTTAACTTTTTGCCAACTAATGGGTTTTCCACTAAACCACTAAACATTATTTACTTTTAGCAGGGGAGCAGAAAGCAACCGAGAAAACTCACCTTTGTTTGGCGAGTGTTTTTCTTGAGGGTACCCTTTTCTGGCTTGATTTAAAAGGTCAGCCTATTTTGACACACACACACACCCAGTTCGACATGCACCTTTGTTGACATTGCATGTTGAAGTGTGCGAGAACAAAAACCAGCTCCCTGAGTGCAACGTCTTCCTACAACACCAGAAGCTGCTGTCATTCAGCAAGGCTTTGTCACGAGGAGGGAGATCCTGTTCGTTCCGTGGAAACCGGCAGACGAGTCGGACCACACATTTTCCACCGTGGCTGAGGTTAGGAATGATCAATGCAGAACCTCTAGGGACCTATTGAGTTTGCAGGCTTGCGCCGACGTCAGGGACGGGTTGCGACGTCAAAGTGAAGCTTCCTTGCAAAGGGGTGTCCTATTTCCGGGTGGACATGAATCCCCACCATGCCCACCAGAAGGGGTCCCCAATCAAAGTCGCCCAGATAATTTAAACTTCTCCCCACATAAGTCTCGACTCGGGAGCTCCTCAGCTTGAGCTCTGCTTTGTCACCCTGATGGAACCGAACGCGATCTGTTTGCTCGAATCGACATGACGCAGACCTGACGCGTTCAGCTTTCTTGGTGCGGATGGGCGCCTTTTCCAACACCTGTGCAACTTGTGTTTGTACAACAAGGCTCTAGAATCCTCCCTGGGTCCCGCCCGTTGCTGGTCGTTTTCTGCTCCATGGAACTGCTATAGGCTTAGCCACCCACTAACAAACCCAGTCAGCCACCTAACCGCCCCAACCACCCACTAACCCAGTCCAATCACCCATGGACATCCACTGGGGATGAATCGGTGGATCCAGCTCCGTTCCGTTTCAAGCTCCGATCCGATCCGATGCGATCCCAAGGAGGCCTGGGGCTACATGGCGGAGTTCCAGATCTTCGGGGTGGCCGCCAGCGACGACCAGGTGGCCAACCTCTTCCGCGCCGGAGGATCCATCGGGTTGGGGGGGGTTTTGGGCGGAAAAGGGGGAAGATCCCTTGTTTTGGGGGGGAGGGGGTGAAGGCGGAAAAGGGTTTGGGGGGGGGGGGGGATTTGGGGGGGGGGGTGAGAGCGGAACAGGGGAACTTGCTGTGGGTTGTTCTTAATCCAGAAGGGGTCTGTAGGTGAAGATGAGAGATGTGAAGATGAGAGATGTGAGGGTCAGAAGTGTAGACATTTCAGTAAGAGTGGCTGACAGATCAGGGAGTTTTCGTTTCCGAGCGGCACTTGGCAGCATTAATCAAAAGTGCCTCTGGGCGGTTTGCCCAACACGCCAAATAGATGTGCAGCGATCACGGACGCTGCCGGGAAGTGTCATTCAGAAGTTAGGACTTGTGCTCAGCAGTGCTGCTCGGGAGAGTTGCTCAGATGGTCAGAAGCGTTGGCGTTGCTCAGATCCGTCAATGAGAAATGCCACACCATCAGAACTGTTGAACCCCAGAAGTGTCAGCAGGCAGAGGTGTTAGTCAGTGTCGCCTAGGACCTAGAAGTGTAGCTTAGAAGCATCTTGCACAGAGTTCTTCTTCACTGATGCTGAAGACCTGCGAGCGCTAGTCCAACGTGTGGCTCAGACTTTATTATTTGTTTCTTTGTTTAGTCGTTTATCTCCTGGAATTACATGCTTCCTAACCTTTCTGTAATAACCGCCAATGGGCGAGATATCTTCATATTAATTCTGTTAGAGCTCGGCGCCCTTTTTCCTTTGGGCAATAAAAGGGTCTGCAGTATTCGCATCCCTCAACGGTTCAAACGCAAAACGCAGGGGCTCATGCACCCCCCCTTCGGCAATCTGCCGAACCAGAGTCTCGCTCAGCGATCCTCCCAGCTCAAGACCCCCTCACTCCGCGTCTCCTTCTTCTTGAAGACGCTGTAGCCTGTCCATTCCCTCAGGCGTGTCCTGCTCCCCACCTCATAGTCTCCACCAACCACGAAGACAGGCCCGCTGGTCCTCATGACCGTGATGCGCTCCGGGCCGATCCCCATGCCAGGCATCCTTCCCTTTCGCGGGTCAAACTCCGAGACCCTCCTCCGGCAATGCACCTTAATGTAGAACTCCTCCTTCTCGATCCAGCGGTCCTCGGTCCCCACTGGCGCCTTCCTGATCCCCGGGAAGGCCCTCTTCACCTCCTCCCACATCTTTGCCTCCTCCGAATCCAAGGCAATCTTCCACTCCGGACCCCAGTTCGCCTCCGGGACCCTCTCTTGACCCCCACCACCAGCCCCGTGGCCGTTCACCCTTCTCTCACTCCGATCTCGCTCCTCCTCGGGGCGCTCATAATCCACACTTCTCTCACGCGGGCCCCTCAACGCCTTGATCCTTTCTCCTCCTCCGGTAGTTGACATACTCCCCCAATCCTCCACCAGAGGTGCTCTCCGCACGCAGCCCAACGCTTTCTTTCCGGCCCACTTGATCACTTCCCAGGCGGCAACCACCGCCACCAGAAGCGCGGTCCATAGCAGCAACTCCTCCGTGGCCTCATTCTCGTTCTCCAGGCCAGCTGCATCCGCCAGCTTCACACACGTGATGCCCATCAGCACCTTAAGACCGCGTTCATGATCCGCGCCGTACACCACCTTCACTTTCGCCGCGGCCTTCTCCTCAACCTCTCCGTCTCCATCTTCCTCCTCCGGGATGACCTTGCTCTCCTTCACTCTCATCCCCATCATCTCTGCCAACGCTCTCAGACGAGAGCTTCCCAAGGCCTTGGTGCCGATGTCCGCCACCATCGTCTCCCCCGGCAGGTGCTGCAACCCCCAAAAGCCCTGCTCAAACCGTTCCCGAGCCGCCCGAGCCCTGATCTTGAGCGGCCTCGTCCGCCACGAACCACCAGGACCCTGCAGCAGCGTCACCGCCGCCGCGTTGTCCTGCAACATCACCAGCTTCAGTGCTTCCAGTTGGTCTCGACCTTCCACGTCGATCCCAGCCTTGTCCCACACTGAAGCAACCTTCCGGTCCTCCAGATCGGCGATGATCTCCGCCCACGCCTCTCCCTGGAGCACCCCTTCCATCGCCGCCAGCAGCTCTGCCTCCGCCGTCGACCTTGCCACAAATGGCTGCCTCGTGCTCGTCCAGTGGATCGGACACCCACCGTAGCTCACGACCACACCCTGCTGGGAACGACCTCCATCCGGCCCGAAGCCTGCATCCGCGTAGACCTCCACCGTGTTCATGCCCCGCTCGTGCAGGAACTCCCCGTTTTCTCCGTGGCCTTCAGCAGCGCTTCCGAACTCCAGCTTCCAACCCACCGTCTTCTTGAGGTAGCCCAGCAAGTAGATACCCATCTCAAAGGCTCGCTTCGGCTGACGTGCTATCAGCTGGCTGATGCGGTTCACGCCATAGCAGATGTCAGGCCTTGTCCGAGTCGCCCACAGCAACTCCCCCGACAATGTCTGCGCCAGCCGAACCATCTCCGCATCCTGTTCCTCGTCTTCCCCATCCTTCTCGATCTCCTTAGGCACTGGGATGGTCTTCTCCTTCACCTCCCCATCGTACCTGTTGAGGACGTCCTTGATGTAGTCCTCCTGGCCCACCAACAGACTTCCTCCGCCGCAGGGGTCCCTCATCACCTCCACCCCGCAGAACTTCACCGGCTTGTCCGCGTTGACCCACTCCAAGTCTGTCGCCTCCCACTCCTTCTTGATATGCTGCGCCATCGCCTCCACGATGTTTGTCTCCCCCACAATCATCATGTCATCCACGTAGCAGCAGATGAACCCCACCGTAGTATCCCCCAGCTTTATCTTCCAGAGGTTCTCGTCCGCGAACGCCTGGCGCAACACCAACTCCTTTCCACCCCCAATGTCCACCTTCCACCTCCTGAGGGTGTCATCACGATGGGCCCCCCAGTCCGCCGGCGATGCCCGCAGCCCATACAAGGCTTTGGTCACCTCCCACATGACTCCCGGGTTCACCACCTTCGCATCCAGGAGAATCTTCGGCGGCCTCACCACCACCCGATGGCTAGATCTCCTCGGCGCATTCAGGAACGCCGTGCGGATGTCCAAGCTTCCAACGGCCCAGTTCATTGCCGCCGCCTTCCGCAACAGTGCCCTGACCGTCCCTGCTTCAACCCCGGACGCGTACACATCCGAACCTCCCTCAACTTCTTCCTGGATCTGATTCCCGCAGACCACCGCCCGGCATTTCCGCCTCCCGTCACCGGCTTTCCTTGTGAACACCGCCTTTCCTGGTGCCCTCTGCACCAGCTCTCCTTCCCTTTCCCACCTATCCACCTCCTCTTCTCTCACCTCCCGGATGGCCATCTTTTCCAGGAGGGCTCCAACTTCCTTCTTCATCGTCGGCACCCACATCTCAATTTCCCTCCTCACCTGCTCAAGGCCGATGATCTTCGTCTGCAGAAACATTTCCTCCTCAGCCACCGCCTCCAGCGCCTTGAGACCTATCCTCAAGCGTTCTCCCCTGGTGACTTCCACCATCTCTTCCTCCAGGAACTCCTGCTGGGCGTCCAACCTTCCGAGTACCTCCGCCCATTCTTCTCCTGTGCCTCCTGTCTCGATATCCTCCATGACCAGCTCCAAGCACCGCTCCTTCTCCTGCGCCCATACCACCTGCCTTCTCTCCAACTCCTCAATCCATTCCTCTCCGACCCCTACCCACCCCGGGTCCAGAGATATTTCTATCCCCTCATCTGTTTCCTCTACCTTTTTCACCTTTGGTGCCTCCTCTTCCCCTCCTTTCTCCTCTTCTCCTCCGTTCTCATCCTTCTGCTTTCCAACCAGCCTTCTCCTTCTTGTCCACAGCTCCCCGGCCACCGGGACATCCACCTTCAGGTCTCTGGGCTCCGGCACCACCTGCGACACCGTGTAGATGCTGCCCTTCTGATCCATCACCCTCAACCCGTAGGTCATATCCTGACACGGGCCGACGTACATCGCGTTCTGGGTGATGGCCTCCCATGCTTCCCTCTTCCACCTTCTTTTCTTCACCACCACCTTTTGCCCGAAGACCGGCAGATGCAACTGTGGGGCTCCCATCTCCCGCAGGATCATCCTGTTGCGAACCTCCACCGCCTGCAACGCCGCCCCATGCCAGAGGTTCGGATTGACCTCTGCCGCCAGTAGCAGCGCCCGTGCCTTCCTCTTCACCCACCCGACGGCCGCCTCTGCTCTGCCGTTGGCCTGTGGTTCATCGGGGCTTGACAACGTCCGATGCAGCCCGCGACTCACCGCCCACCTTCTCAATGCTGTCGACACCAGCTCCCGTCCCCGATCCGAGTGCAATCGAGTGACCTCGAATCCCCACCACCGGAGCCTCGCCACCATGGATTGGGTAGCTGCGATCACCTCCGCAGCTCTCCGACTCTTCAGCGGCTCCACCAACATGAGGGTTCTACTGACCACTCCTTCTTGCCCCCCCGGGTCCAAGTGCTCGCCTTCCTCCCCTATCTCTTCTCCTCCCTCTTCTTCCTCTTCTCCTCTCACCGCTCCTCGCTCCTCAGCAAGCTCCTCAAACGGATCCTCATCTCCTATCTCCTCACCTCCTTCTGCAGCGACATCTTCTTCCTTAGCCATGCTGCCGGAGACTGCCGTGACGTAGGAACCCACCAGCAAGTAGCGATGCCCCTCCTTCGACACCTTAAACGGGCCCGTCACATCGATCGCCAGCGTAGACCACGCCGGGTGAGCCTTCCTTCTGTGGCTCCGTCCTCTAAGCCCACCCTGAATGCAGGCCCGGCAATCCCGTCGAAACGGTATATGCCCGTTTTCCAAGTGGCTCTTCCATGCCTCCTCTCCTGTCACCTTGGCTATCCTCGCCTCCTTCCTCACCTCCGTCCTGATCGCCTCATTCAGCGCCGCCACAAGTCCAGGCGCCCACTCAGCCCAGCTGCTTGACTCGCGGCTTCCTCCTCCGCCCACTCCTGGGCTTCTCATCCCATCCAGCTGCCTCAGATCCTTGATGTTCGTCAGCAGCACCGTCGGCTTGCGCTTGACGTGGCCCATGGCCCCCTGGTCGAATTTCACCCTGATGAGACCCAGGAGCTCCTCCAAAGCCGTAACTTCCGGCCAGTCCCACACAGAAGGCGGCACGCCCCCCCGGGCCTTAGCCCTCTGCCACTCCTCCTCCTTGACATAGCTCTTGGGGTCCTCTGGGTGCTCCTTCACCATCCAGGCCTTCCGACCAACCAGCTCTCTGCCTCCCTGAGCCAACACCA